GTGAATATTTTGCCGAGCGTTTGGTAAATAGCACCACTTGCCGTTTCCACCCCATCCTACCCCTACCCCTACCCCTCCCCCCCCTTCCTCCGTACACAAAACTTGCCTACAAATATACTTTGTACGCCCAGGCCCTGGGCGAAGCCCCACTCAAAGTCCCATCCTGTGCTCTTGTCCCCAAAGTGTGCATGTGCTCCCTTGCGTTGGGCGTGTGGGCGTGTGGGCTTGGGCTTGGGCTTGCGTGTGTATTTGTGCTTCTTTGCTTTTAAACTTGGCTAGGCTTAACAATCAAATGTGTCCGACACCATCTGACAGTCTTGCTTTCCTCAAGGATGTTTACCAGCCCGTCTCCGTAAAACTAACACGGCCGGAGACTTAAACTATTATCCCAAGGTTACGTGGATAAGCTCTCGCACATATGTACACACACACACACACACACACACACAAACAAGCACACGAGCTCTGGCACAGGCAAACAAGTTAGTTGTTGACAGGATATATTCTAGGCAAATGGGGCTCGTACCTCAAATGCTGGTCCTTGAGGGGAACAGGAGAAAAAGTCCAGGTGGGTTGAGCCAAAGCACTAGACCATGACTATTTGGACGCTGCTTGGTTACGAAGGCTTAGAAGAGGATGAAAGTACTGGCAATCATTTACATCCTCGGTTAACTACTAGATTAGAAGCGAACAATGCCTACTGTCCTCACGTCAAAACGGGCCCGTTGTTAAGATTAACATGCGCGATTTATGCCGTCATCTAGCCTCATTCCAAAGCCGGAAACGAAGTTTTAGTCAAAAAATCTCTTCTTTTAATCCAAAGGATTATTTAATTGGGTGGATGGCGAGCTCTAGCATCACCACGATCCAGCCACGCTACTATTGAAAACTCCAAATAAAGAAGGCCTTATTTTGGTATTAGAGTAGAGTTTCGAGACTACAAGTAAATCAGTAATATGAAATGTATTCACCCTATTTCGTCTAAGGGGATGAAGGACTAGTAGTAGAAATTTTCCATTAAATTTCACATAGCCTAGCATTAGTTAGGACGAGAATATATGAAGAGAAACTGTGTTTCGAAGGGGTCAATCGTGAGATTTACGAACTTAATAATGAATAGTACATATTTTTTCTTTAATGCTACAAGCTGAAAGGTTAACTGTGGGATCGTGTTTGTCTCCAGTTTTAGCTAATAATTGCACTTATAGTTCTGAAAATATTCGTAAGATAAATGAATGATCCCTTTGCCATCTGGAAACTCGGCAAAGACTGCTTGGAAGATTCCATTGCGTTAATGAATAGACTTTGAAAATTTCAGTAAGCTACCTTTTTAGATGTCCTCACGAATTGGTGAAGAAATGGAGCGTCATGACAATGCATGTGGAAATAACAACGCTTTCCTCGATCATGCCTTCTTTTAGCGAATCTTCAGGCGCCATCTGCAGATCCGGTTGTTGTAAGGTTTTGTGTTCATGTGGTAGTGTTTGTGTGGTGGAGACTTGTCGACCCACACAGAACACATAACCGCCTGCAAGGGCATATGTATTCAGTAATCGGAGGTGGATGAGCATGTGTTTGCTACAGGAAACCAGATAGAGCGGTCTCACTCCCAACGAATTTACAGCTAAGCAGAAGATCAGGGAGTCGATTGAAATTAACAAAAGATATAGCAGAAAGAGAGAGAGAGAGTG